GTCAGCGGACGAGCCCCAAAGTAGTCTGATAGTTGCGTCTTTGCAATCCTTTGTAAGGCGATTTGTCCACGTCCATCGTTCGGTTGACTCACTGAACACTGAAAAGTTCTGCATCAGCCGCATGGCACGTGCACGGCATGGTTAGTAACACAACAACAACAACAACAACAACAGCTACAAGAACAAGAGTGGCAGCAATAGCACAGCGTGTGCTTAATTAGTGAAACAGCCGCCTCGACACATTTCACATTTCAGACTCGCATCGCTTTGACTCGCAAGCCTTTTTGCATTTAAATTGATAGCGTGGCTGCCGGCGGGCGACTGACAACAGAGCCACCATCGACCAAGAGCCACCCAAGAGCCAGCCCACCACTCAACAACGATCCTTTTGCCCCCCAGCATGCGGGTAAATTCTTTATTATGCTGTTATATGAATACACTTAATTATACGCCTTAATTGGCATGGCATCAACGCGCGGCACGACACCATCCTCATCTCCATTGCCATCACCAGCGCCATCGCCATCGTCATCGTCAAGTGGCTGCCCAAGCGTCCGTCTGATGGCTCCCCATCTCCCAGCAGTTGTGCGGCCACCAACTGACCGCGTCAAAGCGCCCCAAAGTCTGTCGCACGCATTTGTCATTCAGCGTTTTGTGTGAGTGGTATGAAAAATAATTGAAATTCAAATTCTCATTCACATTCGGTTCGTTCGCTTGTTTTGGACCACACTGTGGAAATGTCTTAACTTTCTATGAGTATAGTATACCCGCGTGGCTTATTAATGGGACCCGTGACAAGCAAAGGAAGTCCTCAACGGCCTGTCTCGACTGTATAATTTATTTAATTTCATTTGCATTTTATGCTGATGGGCAAATATTGATGCTTGTAGGTAAACTGTGTTAAGTTCTCTGGCATTTCCAAATTAAAATGATGAATAGGAGCTTAGGCGAGGTGACGCTTTCAAGCCTACTGCGAGAAATATTTTCCTTATAAATCTTTTATTAGGCCAGGCAAAGCAAAGCATTAAGATGTCAATTACCTCAGATTAATTAATGCTTGAGGAACTACCACGAAGTCCGTTTTTAACATGATTTTAAGCTCTAGTAGAATAGAGCTCTTGAAAACTTTGGATACTTTCTTAAGTTAATTAAATTAAATAATTGGTAGTTGGTCGGTAAAAGTTTAAAATATATAATATATAATAGTATTTACTTATTTAAAACTCTGATTACTGACCAACATATTCTAATCAATTATGCTGTTCCACAAAGTTTCCCCTGCCATTTGTAATTTTTTCTGGTTAACAAATATTAAAGTTTTGTGTGTTTTAAATAAACAACCCAGACAATTAGAACATTTAATTAATGCTACTGAAATGTAAAAGGTAAATATTCAGTTCAGTACATTTTTGTAGTGCTTGAGAAAAGTTGTTAATTAAACAGCAAAAAAACAAATTTTGATTGATTAGAGTTATGTATTCCAAGATGAATTGCTTTTTATATTTCTATTGTTAAAAACAAAGATCTTACAGGTTCTTTTATTATTGAAAGAGTTATGTATTCCAAGGTGAATGGCTTATTATATTTCTATTGTTAGAAACAAAGAACTTACAGGTTCTTAGAGACTTTATTTCAAAGATATGCTTTTTTTACCATTAATATTTTGTGTAAATTGCGCTTTTATGGATTTTTAACATTGTTGCAAACAAAAAAAACGAAATAATTTAAGTCGTACACTCTTTTATCATTTAACGTTCTGGTCTTAATTTTTAAAAATAGCGCAACAACCAAAAAGTGGTTGACCGTACAAGAGATTTTCGCTTTGCTTCCCTATTTCGCAATATATTTCAATTCAACAGCATAACTTAAATATAGTAGTAGGTACGTGTGTATGTTTTGCATAATACTCAAATACATTTCGCTGCTCAATTTCACTCCACTTCATCGCAATATCCTCCAGCTGGATGGGGCAAAAATGTTTTTCCACTTCAACGGGCTGACTGAACAAACAAAACAACAAAAAATCTCAGCTCACCAAATTGCGCCGCGGGCACAACCAACAGTTGTGTACACGAATATGTGTGTATACTTGTATGCTGTGTCGGATACATTTACATAGCACTCATCAAAGATGTTTTCACAATTTGCTGCTGTTGATGTTTCTACTGCTGTGACACAACCATAATTAATACATGCTACACATTCGCCCCCGGGCCTGTGACAAGTGCATGGATCGGGGGCGGGAGTAGGTGTGGGAGACAGCCAGCTCGACTGTTGACATTGAGCCAATGACGGGCGACAGGCGACAGTGCGACAATAACAAGGCTCCTCACATCCCTTGTTTTAGCATTGGACATGCTGAGAAAAGGATGGATGGAAACAGGCAACTTTCTGCCTATTCTTAATAAAAATAAATCGCAGCATGTGCGCGGCAGTTAGGAATGGAAACGAGGACATAAAGCAATGATTGAGGCTCCGCCGATGTGGAAGTCCTAGGCGAAGCGGTCGGAACGTCAACGCCAGATGCCACGGAATTTGCGTAGGAGAAGCACGCGTAGAATCCTTCCTCTGATGCAAACCTTTGTCGAGGAATGACGGCAGCAACAAGCAGGCATATTAAAATATTTATGTACCAAGTACTTACGTATTTCCAGCCCAGGGGTGCGCCCAAAAAGGAGCCCGAATTCCTCATTTTGCCAGTTGCCTAGCCACCTTAAATAAACGTGTTTGGCGTACGAACACAAGAATGAGTGCAGCTTTAACAAATTAAGACATATTTTGTTTCGCCCTGCTACTTATATTCAATTGAAAAGTATTTCTTAGAATTCATATCGAAATATTAAGATGTTTAAGCTAATCGTACCGGGTAAAACTGTAGAGCAAACGAATAATACGAATTGGTTTTATATATTGAAAGAAAAAAGAAGAGGAATTAAATAAAGTATTTAGTTTTAAATAAACACATTTTATTACATTTAAATAATTTCCCGTGAGCTAATTAGCGGTTACGGAAGAAGTAATGAGCCGCCAAGCAGTGCCGGTGTCCCCTTAAAGTATGCAACCCTTTTTTATTTACTCGAATGCCCACGCATTGCACGCCCATGGAAGCCTCCACCGCATTTGAATTGTGCCCGTACTTGAAAGATAAGTACATGTGAATGCGTATGTGCTTGTCTGAATGCGTGTGAGTGTTAGTGTGACTGTTGTGTACAGTGCGGTCTTGATGTTTTGTAAGTTTAAGTGGTAGATATTATTCAAAAGGAATTAAGACTGAAATGAAAAGCTTGTCGACGACGACGGAAACGGCTGAGGAGTGACAGCTCGGCCGCACAATGCGCCCAGTGCTCAGGGAATGCTTTTAATAAATATGAATGCCTTACAAATGCGCGAGGATGTGGGAGCTTATAGTTTGTCAGTGTGTTTGTAATGCAAATGCCAAGTGAAATGAGCAACAGCGGCAACCGCAAGTGGCGTCACAGCTTGGCTTGGCATACGTGCATTTGCTCGTAAGCTTACCCTTCAGTACATGTGCCATTCAAATGTCTATGGCTTCTCTGCTACTAACTGGCAGCTGCTTTTTTCTCAACTGTCTGGTAATGTAATCGAAAGTATGTCAGCAATTGAGAGATAGAGAACTAGAGCTGTATAAAAACAAAGTTTGGCCGAAAAACGGAAGTATAAATAATTATTTGAATCTAAAATAGAATGGTTAGCAAATTCGCCAGCTCTAGTCTCCTTTTCCGTACTGATGGGTACACATAGACGTTTGTTTGGATGATATGTTTGAATGCTGTGTATATGAGTATGCGTTTGTGTTACGTTTGTGTGTGTGCGTGTTTGTGTATGCATGTGTGCATGTGTGTGCCTTTCTGTGGGTGGACTTTGCATATGGGCAACCGGAAAACTACTTGTATAAAGATGCGCGGAGGCTTGTGTGGTGAGCTTAAATAACGAAGCCAAGTGTCAACATGATAACTTCATTATGGTAACCCAACAGCAACCAGAGTGTAGCCCGGAACCCAAGCCAAAGCTCAAGCCCGAGCCCGAGCCCAAACCCAACCAAAGCCAATTCAAACACAAACAGCAGCAACAACTTTCCCTGCTTAACTAAAATGCAGAAACTACCACTACGCTGGCGATGCTAATGGCAGCGCACGATGAAGTGCGAGGCGGAAGGAAGTCGGGAGGCTGGGTGTGGCACGGTAGGTGTGCCCACATATTTGCCTGGTTGCCTACTAAATGAGTTTAGATTGCTGCACATAAATTACCATGAACTAGTTAAATGACAGACGCAGAAACGACCACATAACGGTGGCATCTAAGGCAGGAACAGTGGAAAAATGATGACGCACAATGCGCAAAAACATAGATATTTAGCTAAAAAACTAACCATTTTTATTGAATTATTATCATTATTATTATTATTATTAGTTTGAATATGTTAAAACTTTATTTTAAGCGGTTCCAAAACTAAAGAAATCTACATCGCATCTCTTAACATTTTAGAAACGCCAGAAATGTTAAATAACTTGTAGAGCCTGTAACTTTGAAAAGAAATTGAATTCTTAGTTTAATGTTTTGCAGGAACTACAATACATACAATGTAGCCTATCAGTCCCATTTCCCATTTTGTAAATAGATCCTATAGCTCCTATTTCGTGGAATTTGGCTCTTCAGCTCATCCAGCAGAGCGCATCACTGAACAAGCAGTGCAAAGCAGTGCCACTGCTTTGCGTGTTTGCCTTGCACGAACTTAATTTTTTTCACAAGCTTTTGAATATTTAATAATAGTTTCTGTTTATAAATTAAACAGTACAATTTAAACAATTGTAATAATATCTATAATGAACTGTTTATGAATGTTTATTTTATATCTAAATTAAAAATCTTTGTTTTACATATTTGTATCGTTGTGTGGCAAAAATTGCTGTAAAGCTCATAGTTTTTTTTATGAATAATTAATTGAATTATTCATTTACCCAATGAACAAGTAATTATAATTAAAGGCACAAAGCAGAACTATAATTCACAAATGTAGAGTATGTATAAAAGTATAAAATTTGTATTTGCAAATCTATTTTCTTTTACATTCAAAACTTAAAATCAAATGAAAATTTGCTTCCTTCCTTCTCATATTTCTGCACTGCCTCTTTAATCGCCTGTTCCACATCGATGGTGTTGAACTTCTCCTGAACTCGCTGCTTAATTGGATTCTCTAATGCATCCATAATCTGATAGCGCAGCAAATTTGGCAGCATATTAACCGCAAACTCCAAAACATAGTCCATAGTGCCCGCACCATCGCAGCGCACCTGAATGTTGCCCATAACAATTTGCAAGTCCTTGATCTGCGGCCGCTTGCGCGTGTCCAAGGACTGTGAGATACCCACTGTTACGCGTATGTGCTGCACTGTGAACTGCACATGACCAATGCGAGTCATCAGACCTAGTCCCACCTCCCACTGACCAGCTCCTGTGATCTGCTGAGTGCCAACCTGCACCCGTAAGAGGACCGTGTTGTTCTCCATGGCGGCAATCACATCGCCAACTCGATAGAAACTGGAGATTCCATTGATCCAAGTGTTCACCAATTGAACGCTGAACACGCCCATGGTGCGATTTAGGTCTTGGAGGTGGAATGGATCGTAGCCATTGGCACGCACCTTTTTGCGAGCCTCCGCTATGGCCATATCTAGGGGGGTAATGGAGTTGGGCAAACGACGATCGCCCATCAGTTTCTCGATGTTGGTGTTGATCTCGCCGCGGAGCTGTTTGTCTGCTTCCTGCAGCATGAAAGGTTTCATGGCATCGAACACCAAATTAGGGGCTGAGTTGACAATGCCCTGGAAAACAGTACCCAAGAAGCCAAGATTCTGGAAGTCCATTGCCATGTCTGCAAATGTAATATCCATTTTGATGTGATCCGTTGTTAAGTGGCCATCACGTTCCACGGCTAGCGTGGCGGTGGCCTTCACCATCACATTCTTCAGCAGCACCGTAAACGGTCCATTGGCTTTCGAAAAGAATGAGCTGAGCGTGTAGGAGCCCTTGACCAGCATCTCATCGAGCTGGACGCCAGCATCGACCTGAGAAAATGTGGAATTATTTATTGCACTCCAATTAAATGACAACCAACTTGCTTTCATTTCTTTGAGATTGGCCTTGAGGCTGGCTATGCGAAACTTGGAGAGACCGTAGGCCTTCACCTGCATCATATTCAGATTGGCCATACCGAGGCTCTTCTTCATATCTGGCACTTCCATGGGGTCTGGTATGGGAGCGCCCGGAAATCCCACGGGATCGGGCTGCTTGTAGTGCTCCAACAGGGCCTCTAACTGCGCAGCCACGCGGTTCTTGCTCGCCTCAATGTTGTGTTCATCATTTGTGTCACTGCCCTCTGTTTCTTGATTTGACAGCATTTTGTTGACGGTTACAAAGTTCAAGTTCAGCTTGCAACTCACCATTCTCATCCTGGGCCTGGACGTAGCCGTGCATTAGAAATCCCACAGCCACGCTGAGCACTATAATTATCAGTGGCTTCATCTTTTGACGATTTGCTTGTTTTTCTGGAATTTTTGCTTATCAGCTGCGAACGCTTTGAAAATTGAAAACACGCGACTATTTCTTCAATCGACTTGCTGCGCACGCCTCGAGCAACCGCAAGCAAATGATGAGGGCTGCGTTCGGTCTGGCCCCTCAGCACGAGTTTAATAAACAGATAATGTAAAATGATGAGTGCTCTGGATCAGCATCACAAATGCTTATCTGAGGGCGCTGAGACAACTCGCAGATAACGCACACTCTGATTAACTCAACTCAGAGTTGAGAGAGCGGCTTGGCTGGGCGAGTCGAATTGCCGGAAGTTCTCAGACTTGGACAGAGGAAGTGCTAATCAAGAGCTACACAAATCTACAAAGTTCTCTTCAAATCGAACTCTATCGAGTTTAAATTCCCCGAAATACCCGTTTTATTTCATTTAGAAATACCCGTTTTATTTAGTTTTCACAGCAAGTGCTTGATGCTAAAATGTTATTTAGTGGAATTGATATTTCTACAAAAATGTGTGTACTTTTAAAAGTACAAAAATTGTTCTCTTAAAGTAACAAATCAATTCTTTAATTAACCATTTCACAAATTCATTTAGAAATATTCGTTTTATTTAGTTTTCACAGCAAGTGCTCGACAATAAAATGTGCTTCAGAGGAATTCATATTTCTCCAAAAATATTTCTTCTTTTACAAGTACAACCGTTTTCTCTCAACTAACTAACTAACTAACGAATCAATTCTTTAATTATATGTAAATAAATGGGGGCCTTTGTGCGGATTTTCAACTATTTTCGGGAAAAAAATTATTTATTCGTTTTTATATAGTGTTTGGAATTTTTGCAAGTATTTCGAAATACTTCCAGTACTTATAATCTTAAAAGAGACCTGTACTTATTAACCTTTAATTTCAGTATTTCTGTGCTTCGTCGTAAAATTGTTATATGTATTATAATTTTATTAATTTTAATATTATATAAGCACGATTTAATGATATATTGGTATTGAAAGTTCTCTTTAAAAGGTCATACAATATAAAATCTTCAAATCTAAGATGGTAAAAGCTTTAAAAAAAACGTTTTCTGCCCATCACTCATCATGGAAAGAAATACACAAAACACGAAGATACCGGATGAGTAATGAATTAAGATTCTATACTTCAAGCGCATAGATTTTATGAAGGCAAGTCAATAGTTTGCATAAGATATAGATTATCTTGTTCCGAAAGACACTTTTTAATATTTGCTGTTCGTCTGTGGAACGAGTTACCACATAGCTTAAAAACAATCAGCAATGAAACGCATTTTAGAAATAGAATTCAAGCGCTCTTTCAAGAAAGTACCTAAAGAAAAATAAAGTAAAGAGCACAATACTAACACTACTACATTTACACTCAATTACACTCAGTATGATTATACCGATAATATTAAAAAAAAAAAAAGCACTTTACATTTATGTATAACTAAATGTATCTAATAAAATTAGGTTAAGTAGGCTAATCAAATCACTTGAATATTAATATCTAAGGTAATTTAATTTTTGTGACTAGTGCATTAATTAATAAGAATCTTTCTTGTCGCACTAGGAATTAATAATAATAAGTAATAATAATAATACGTTCTTTATGTAAATAAATAATACACTCATTAACATGCTGACTAACAAGAAACTAAAACAATTTCTGGGTCGAATGTACTCTTATTAAAATGTGAGCTCTATAGATGGATAACACATCGAACATCGTTATCTCATTACATACATCGAACACTATATTTCTATGTATATATTTGTGCTTTAAAACTAATGATTGGCAAATTCGCACACAGAAGGGCAAACATCTCTGTTACAACTGGCGATATATTTAAAGATAAGCCCGAATGCATCTAATTTGTTGAAATTTGTATTTTAATTTATTTGCGAACAAGTGCCAATTGCCAATTCTTTATCGAGTGGTGTTTAAATAAACAATTTTTCTTTATTCCCATGGGTCACATTTGTATGTTAAACTTATCGCTTATCTAATTTCATTGCCACACTGGAGCCTGCACCCTACCTTTCGGTCACTTTCTACCCACTGTGCAAACACTGTAAATTCCAAAACTAAGATTGTTTGCCTTGCAAACATAGCCCTCACATGGCACAACAACATGCCACACATTGAAGCGATGGACAAAGGCCACAAATAAACGCACACACACACACACACAGACACACCAACACACTCATACAAAGGCACACCAATAGACACAAGGTTGATTTGATTTACGCCGGTGCTGGCCAGGCCTAACTGCAATCTTGTCAAACTGGCACCCCACCTCGTCCTTGTGCAACAGCTCATCAACAACATGGTTTAACTGCCTGGCTTTGGAACTCCAATTTGCCACACGCACACATATACACATATACACACACACACACACACGAACACAAGGAGACACGCACAAATGGCGGCAAGCACCAGTTGCTGTCCTGCTGGCCACTTGACACATCTGTGCAGTGAAATGCAAAGCATACGGAATTTGCAATTCCATTTGTTTAGTCAGCTTTGGCCTTGTGCCTTGTTTGCAACTCGTTTTTATGACACAGCACACGTTAAAGTTTTATTATTATTTTTAATTATTCAACTGTTCTCATTTTTGACGTTCGTTTGTGTCTCCCTCTATGCGTGTGTGTGTGTGTGTGTGTGTGTGCTTTGAAATGTCAGAGGACACATAAAACCGAGATGATTGTGAATGGCACTCGTTTGTGGTCTCCCACCTGACTGACCATTAAAACAGTTTGTCACTAATATGTTGTTTGGCTAGTTTTGTGGCAAAATCGTTTACTGCTTGACTTTAAAGCTGAGCTGGAAATTATGTAAATGGCGCACCACACTGCGTATACACAATGTCTGTCAATTGCACTGGTCGGCTGCCCTTTGTGAAAATATTCAACTCCCATACAATTGTCCCATACAATTGTCAATAAAACTCAATCAATCATAATTAACTTTCGAGCACTTACACTTGAAAAGGCTTTAACCGCCCCGTTCCGCAACTTTTTACACTTCAATTGCTCCAAGTGGCACAAAGGCTCTAGCAATTTGAAAGGGAAAGGGTCAGGATCATTTTTCAGCTGCTTAAGGCAATAAATTATGCCCTAATAAGGTTATATTCAAACAAATGAGCTCATTTATTTCGGCCCAAAAACTGACAATTAGTAAGAATAGTGTGAAGCCAGCTAAGCGGAAGATTCTTTGACAAAACTTTGTATGACATCGAAATGAATATTTATTTTGTTAAACAGTTGTATGTAGACACATTTCATTTAGCTTGCCGGACTGGCTTTCAAATTTTCCCCCACCGGGTTGGAGATTTCCCTTTTACTCCATTTACTCTTTCTCTTTATGCTTAATTAGCTGTTAAGTAGAATTACTTGTCCTTCTCTATTGACTGTTTTTTTTTAACCTGTTATTTCTATAATGTCTCTGACCACATATGGCTGTGATTCGGGGAATAGCTGGCCAAATGGAAAATAAAATTCCCCCAACGGGTCGGAGGCATTAATAGACGTTATTGTTTAGTTTTTTCTTAGACTTTCTTTTATTTTAAGTTGAAATTATAGCGTTGTATTATTAAATATCTTTATTTTATTTTATAATATTATATAAATCATGGTTTTTATATATGTATCGACAACACTATTTGTTGATTTACTGAATAAAATCAAATTAAAAGAAATTAGTAAATTTTACTTAAAAAAAGAAAAAAACATTAATGCCATTTTGGTTTGTTGATAGCTGTTTACAAACCCACAACATAATTGGAATATTGTGGTCCGATCAAATAAATATTTGATTTCATTGCAAGTTTCTTCTTTTCTTGCGCCGCGTTTGGAGCTTTCTCACTTACTGATTATTTTATATTTATTATCGAACTTGGGATGGAATATAGTGCATAGGAAAAATTGCCATCTTTCAGTTATATACAAGTACAGCATTTTGTGGCAATATTTATGTGCGAATAGATATGAGATGAGCTTTAAGCTGTCTGATCGAGCTAACGTATCGCTTCAACTGTTGCTCACTTACCATATGACTTATACGCCATGTTGGCGGCGACCAATGCCAATAAATTCGCATAAAAATCAATTGCTGTACACATGTTGCCAGCGAATCGAATTCAAATTCATAAAGCGTCATGAATAAGCCATGAGAAACAGCCCAACGTATATTTTCATACAATCATGCCCAATCCCGCCGATTCAATCTCACTTGCTCTGGCTCACTCTCTCTCTCTCTATCTCTATCTCTCTCCATCTCTGTCTGTATTCACCTGCCCAGAGTAACCAACTTCAAACGCCTACCAATTTGACTTGACTGCAGCCAAAGCCAACAGCCGTTTTGGATTAGACCCCAAAGAGACGTGCAAATATGTGTTGAGTTCAAATATGTGTGGTTTTGTACACTCACACAATTGTGTGCGTGTGTGCGTGTGTTTGTGTGTTTGTGTCTATAAATGTGTGTGTGTGTGTGTGAAAGTTATGAATAATATGCGAGAACATGGCTTATTGACAGTGCAAAATTCATTGCCTAATTTCATTAATTTCATGCGCATTAAACGACATTTGCAAATGTTCACAGGTTGCACACGTGAAACATGTGTTGGACACGTACTCGTCTGCTCCCTGCTCCCTCAGCCCCCTCAGTCCCCTCAGTCCCCACTCCCCCAATTGTCGCCTCTCTCGTCTATTGCCCCGCAACTTTTGTTCAGGTTTGTGCTTGTGCAGCAGCTTTCTGAAACCGAATCATCTGACCGGAAGTGACAAGTCAGCAAAATTGCCTCCACTTACCGTACGGTTCTCGGTCCTCTTTTTTTGTTGTTGCTGCCCATTGCTGTGTTGTCGCTATTGTTGTTGTTGACTGAGAGCTCTGGCCTGCGGGTTCGAGGCATGAATAAACGCCAACAAAGTTATATGCTTAATCATCCGTGGAATGGCAAATGTCACCCACGTTATTGTTGATGATGCTGACTGTTGTTGCCCCACCAACTGCATTCACGGCCTGTCTCAGTCGGCGTAGAGGGGAGGGAGGGGGGGGACTGGGCATCCAAAGATGCCTCGGAGA